ACTGCCTTACCCATTCAACAATATTTGAATTGCAGTTTATTGATAAGCCTTCTATGTGCAACAGTGTCAAAAGCCTTACTGAAATCTAGGTAAGCAATGTCTACTGCACCACCCTGATCTATAATTTTAGTTACCCAATCAAAAAAATCAATAAGATTAGTTTGGCATGATCTCCCTGAAGTAAACCCATGTTGTCTCTGATCTTGAAATCCATGTGTTTTAGATGTTCATCAATCCTATCCTTTAACATGGTTTCCATCACTTTCCCCACTACTGAAGTAAGGCTTACTGGCCTATAGTTGCCTGACTCCTCCCTATTACCTTTCTTGTGAATGGGCACAACATTAGCTAACTTCCAATCTTCTGGGACTACTCCTGTTAACAATGATTGGTTAAATAAATCTGTTAATGGTTTTGCTAGTACACCACTAAGCTCTTTTTAATAGCTTTGGGTGTATTCCATCAGGTCCCATTGACTTATTTGTCTTTACTTTTGACAGTTGAAATAGAACCTCTTCCTCTGTAAACTCACGTGTAATAAATGACTCATTTATCCCTTTTCTCAACTGAGGTCCTTTTCCTTCATTTTCATCTGTAAATACAGAACAAAAATATTCATTGAGGCAGTCAGCTAGACCTTTATCCTCTTCTACATACCTTCCTTCTTTTGTTTTTAATCTAACTAATCCTTGCTTTACTTTTCTTTTCTCATTTATGTATCTAAAAAATGTTTTATCCCCCTTTTTTACTGACTGTGCAATTTTCTCTTCTGTGTGTGATTTGGAAGCTCTTATAACTTGCTTAGCCTCTTTCTGCCTAATCTTATAGATCATTTTGTCTTCCTCACTCTGGTTTTTTTATAATTCCTAAATGCTAACTTTTTGTTTTTAACTATTTTGGCCACATCTGCGGAGTACCACAGTGGTTTCTTGAATTTTTTGCTTTTACTGACAAGCCTAATGCAATTTTCTGTTGCCTTCAATAGTGCAACTTTTAAATAAACCCATTTCTCTTGGACTCCATTTTAAATTGCTCCAGTCTGATAATGACTCCTCCACCCATATTCTAATTTTAGAAAAGTCTGTTTTTCTAAAGTCTAAAACTTTTGTTTTTGTGTGGTGTGACTCAGTCACTGTTCTTATATTAAACCACACTGACTGATGATCACTGGATCCTAAACTTTCACCTACAGTAACATCTGATACCAAATCTCCATTTGTTAACACTAAATCTAGTATGGCCTCTTTACGAGTTGGCTCCTCAACAACTTGTTTTAGAGACAATCCCAGTAGGGAGTTTAGAATATGTGTGCTCCTGGCACAAGTAGCTAATTTTGTTTTCCAATTTACATCAGGAAGATTAAAGTCACCCATGATGATAACTTCCCCCTTCATTGTCATTTTAGCTATTTCCTCAACTAGTAGATTATCTAACTCTTCAATTTGTCCTGGGGGCCTATAAATCACACCTACACGAGTTACTGTGTGATTACCAAATTCTAACGTAGCCCAAACGGACTCTATGTTTGCCTCACTAACTTTTATTAGGCTAGATTTTATGCTATCCTTCACATACAAGGCCACCCCTCCCCTTTCTTGCCTTCCCTATCTTTCCTATATAAAGAGTACCCTGGTATTGCTATGTCCCAGTCATTTTTCTCATTGTACCATGTCTCAGTAACAGCGACTAAATCTACACTATCAGTTGCCATTATTGCCACAAGTTCATGGATCTTATTCCCTAAACTGCGAGCATTTGTAGACATGACTCTAAGCTTATCATTTTTTAACACACTTGCTACAGGCACCTTCTGTCCTTGTTTTGGGGGACAATTGGATTGATGTTTTATCACCCTTTTGCCCCCCCCTCCTAGTTTAAATACATCCTAGCAAAACCTCTGAACTGCTCACTGAGAACATTTGTTCCCTTTTGAGAAAGATGCAAACCATCTTTTTTGTACAGCTTATTTCCATTCCAAACAGAGCTACCATGAGAAATAAAGCCAAATCCTTGCTCCCAACACCATTCACCAAGCCACAAATTAAAGTCCCTAATACGCATCCGCCTGTCGTTCTGAGTGTTATGCACAGGCAGAACTTCAGAGAATGACAGTGTGGAAGCAACCTGCCGTATATCATTGGCAAAAACACTAAAAACTTCCTTAACCTCTGAAACCTCATTGCAAGCCAAGTCATTTGTCCCTAGATGGACAAGTACATCCAATTCCCCTTCCTGCTTTGCTTGCTTAACAATATTACAGATACGTCTCCTGTCTCTGTGAGCAGTAGCTCCGGGAAGACACCTCACAAGACCACCATTGTCCATCTCCACACCTCTTATAATGGAATCCCCCAACAACAACTGCTTTCTATTAGGCCTCACCATAGTCTCCAAGACGGTCTCCACAACACCACTAGTCTCAGTGCCTCTCTCCACAACACCACTAGCCTCAGTGCCTCTCTCCACAACACCACTAGCCTCAGTGCCTCTCTCCATAATACCACTAGCCTTAGTGCCTCTCTCCACAACACCACTAGCCTCAGTGCCTCTCTCCACAATACCACTAGTCTTAGTGCCTCTCTCCACAACACTACTAGCTTCAGTGCCTCTCTCCACAACACCACCAGCCTCAGTGCCTCTCTCCACAACACCACTAGCCTCAGTGCCTCTCTCCACAACACCATTACACTCTGAAAGTGCAGAAAATGAATTATGAAGAGCAACAGACTGTGCAAAATGCCTTTTATCCACAATTCTAAGTCTACCAGATCCTACAGTAATCCATCTGCCATTCCTAGTATGTCTCTGCGGCAGTGCCTTTGCAGCAGGTCCAGTCTGAGTTTGTTCACCAGATAATTTACAAATCTCAGACTTCAAAAATACAATCTCCTGCTGCAAGATAGAGAACTGTCTACAGCATGGGTTGCCAACCTGGTCCCTACCGCCCACCAGTGGGCGTTTTGGGATTCCAGGTGGGCGGTAGCAGAATCCTCCCTCCATCTAGAGAGGAACACTTTATTCATCTCTCGTGCACTCAGTGGTAAGCAGGAAGTGCGAGGTTGCAGATGCGAGTGCATGAAAGCGCGGGCGTGTGTGCTTGAACGTGCATGTGCGCCTATATCGCATGGGCGTATGCACGTACGAATGCCTGTGCTCGTGAACGAGTGTAACACGCGGGTAGAGGAAGGGGAGAAGTTGGAGTAGGGAGCAGAGTACTTGTAGAATAGGAGAAAGAAGGAGCAGAGTACTTGTAAAAAAAGGAGAAAGAAAGAGCAGAGTATTTGTAGAATAGGAGAAAGAAGGAGCAGAGTATTTGTAGAATAGGAGGAAGAAGCAGCAGAGTACTTTTAAAAAGGAGAAAGAAGGAGCAGAGTATTTGTAAAGAAAGAGCAGAGTACTTGTAGAATAGGAGAAAGAAGGAGCAGAGTACTTGTAAAAAAGGAGAAAGAAGGAAAATAAAAATATAAAAAGGAAAAGGAGAGAATTGTTCTTGGCTAATAATAATAAGTGGGCTACCTAGCTCAGCCTTCCTGCTGGGCATTGCTATAAGGAAGGTGAAAAAAAAGAAAAAAGGGGAAAAAAAGGTGGGGAGGGGAATTGAGGAGGGAGAGGAGGGAAGCTGATGCACAGATGAGAAATCATATTATGAGCAAACAGAGAAATCGTTGTAATATCACCGAAAGAGGAGACCTTCGTTTGTTCCTTACGAAAATCGAACCAGATATCAAATATTTAGTTTTGCAGCATCAACCTCAAGGATCTCATTAATCACTAGTAAAGGTAATTTCAATTTACTTTATTGTTTTCTAATTAAACTTTCTAAAGTTAAAAACATTATAAACATGCATTAATTAGAAATAAAAAGATAAATGTACGTACATTTATTTTTTTTAAACACCCTCCTTTCTAAAAAATATTCTGCACTTTCGTGAAAACTGGTGGGCGGTAAGGAACTTTTTCCATCAAGAAAGATGCATTAGTGGGCGGTAGGTAGAAAAAGGTTGACTACCCCTGGTCTACAGATTAGACAACAACCAAACCTCCAAAAAGTGGAACGTGAAACAAATGCATAGCAATTGTTACACTGAACTAAGTCTGCCATTCCAATTAGGAGAATAATTTAAATCTAACAAATCTTAACTTTATATTTATCCTCCTGAATACCTCAGATTACCTCCTGGTTATCTCCAGAATATCTCCAACTACACACTTAGAAACAGCACTTAGATGAAGCACCAAGTTATATTAGACAAGCTAATGACACCAAGCCTTATGTAACTCCTAAAATCACCACCCACTAGGAATGTTTAACACCTGGGTAGGCCTCTGCTTATTTGCAAACAATAGCTAATTAACCAGCAATCAATAGCAAGTAACTAGCTTTAATCAAATCAAATGCCTTATAATTACCAACAGGAATTCAAACCTTGTGCAATCAGTAACCTTTTCCTACAGATGAATCTTACCTGTAACAGTAGAAAAGAAAGCTCTTAGCACAACTCTTAGACAGTTGAAGCTTCTGTAAAACTCTCCAGAATATCTCCAACTACACACTTAGAAACAGCACTTAGATGAAGCACCAAGCTATATTAGACAAGCTAATGACACCAAGCCTTATATAACTCCTAAAATCACCACCCACTAGGAATGTTTAACACCTGGGTAGGACTCTGCTTATTTGCAAACAATAGCTAATTAACCAGCAATCAATAGCAAGTAACTAGCTTAATCAAATCAAATGCCTTATAATTACCAACAGGAATTCAAACCTTGTGCAATCAGTAACCTTTTCCTACAGATGAATCTTACCTGTAACAGTAGAAAAGAAAGCTCTGAGCACAACTCTTAGACAGTTGAAGCTTCTGTAAAACTCTCCAGAATATCTCCAACTACACACTTAGATGAAGCACCAAGCCATGCATTCTTCATCCCAAAAGGCATAACCTTGAACTGGTATAGCCCAAACACGGTAACAAATGCCGACTTAGGGATAGCCGTTGGCTCCAGGGGGATTTGCCAATAACCTTTGCACAGATCTATGGTAGTTAGGTAATTTACCCCCGGCCATACTATCCAGCAGTTCGTCTATCTGGGGCAAAGGGGAGGCATCACTGACTGTCCAGTCGTTAAGTTTCCGGTAGTCGATACAGAAGTGAGTCGTACCATTTCGCTTAGGTACCATCATTACTCAGGGGCTCTGAGACGGCTCTATGACCCCTAGCCTTAACATGTCCTGAATCTCTTTCAATATGTTCTCCCTAACTGTTTCAGGGATACGGTAAGGTTGTTGCTGTAGTGGGGTTTCTCCCTGGGTCTCAACTCGATGGACCGCAGCGGAGGTGTACCCGGTTAGTGAAGAGAACATTTCCCGGTAACCCTGGAGCAGCTGAGTGGCCTCAGCCTTTTCTAGGGGGCTCAGTTTTTCCCCTAGGAAAGAGGGGAAGGTTCTCCCTATCCTCAAAAAAGGGGGCGCATACCGCAGCCACATCCTCTGGAAGTAGGGTTTTAACTAGTTCACACGAAAGGATCTTTTCATCTGAACATTTCCTTACAATGTAGGTAGTGTAGTTTATGCGCTCCACTACCAGGAAAGGTCCTTGCCAGGCGACTTGAAGCTTGTCTTTTTTAGTCGGCTTCAGGGTTAACAACTTCTGTCCTATTTCTAGGACCCTATCTCGGGCACCCCTATCATACCCCACCTGCCAATTCTCCCTAACAGTGAGAGCTTGCTCAACTCCAGGATGTAGGGTACAATAGGCAGTGGTGTATCCTGGTTTTGTGCTGCCCTAGGCAGGACAAAATTCAGGCGCACCCCTCCCCCCGCGCCACCCCCACCGAACCCTTCCCCCCCGCCCCAGCTTCTAAATACACACACACACAGTCAGACACACACAAACAAACACACAGTCAGACACACACACACAGTCACACACAAACACACACACACAGTCAGACACACACACAGTCAGACACAAACACACACACACACACACAGTCAGACACAAACAAACACACACACAGTCAGACACAAATACACACAGTCAGACACAAACACATGACACAGTCAGACACAGAACAAATATTAGCACAAACACACACACACACAAACACACACACACACACACACAGTCAAACACACACACAGTCACACACACACACACACACACACACACACAGAACACATACACACACACACACAGTCAGACACACAAACACACACACACACAGTCAGACACAAACACACACACACACAGTCAGACACATACACAGACACAAACACACACACAAAGTCACAAACACACACACACAGTCAGACACAAACACACAGTCAGACACAAACACACACAGTCAGACACAAACACACACACAGTCAGACACAAACACACACACACACACACAGTCAGACACACACACAATCACTCACATTAACTTTTTTTTTAATCCCCCCCCAGCCTCCTTACCTTTGGGAGTGCTGGGGGGGGGGGTCTCTCTCTCCCTGGTGGTCCAGTGGCTGCCGGTCGAGCTGGGCTGCGCTGGCTGCTGTGTGGGCGGCTGGCGAGGGAGCTCTTCCCCTGAGTGGACTGCTCAGCTCCCTCGCGCGCCACAGAGTGAGGCTGGGAGCCGGAATATGACGTCATCTTCCGGCTCCCAGCCTCACTCTGCAGCACGCGAGGGAGCTGAGCAGTCAGCTCAGAGGAAGAGCTCCCTCGCCAGCCGCCAGCGCCGCCCGCTCGGCATGTCTGTTAGCCACGAGGCTAACTAGGCATTTGCCCTGGGCATTTGGGGGCGGCGTCTTTTGCCGCCCCCTGAAAAATGCCGCCCAAGGCAAATGCGTTGTTTGCCTCGCGGCTAATACGCCCCTGACAATAGGGATCCCTCCCTCTCCTGTGTCACCATTCCAGATGACGTCTAGGGGTCCCTGTACTTTTCTCCCATATAGGAGTTCGAAGGGGGAAAACCCTGTTGACTACTTGGGCACTTTGCGATAGGCAAACAGGAGATGGGGAAGTAACCTCTCCCAGTGTTGACAGGAGGCTGTGAACGTCTTAAGCATCTGTTGAGCGTGCCATTAAAATGTTCACAGAGTCCGTTCATCTGTGGATGGTAGAGAGAACTAAACAGTGACTTTACTCCGCAGCTCTACCAGAATTGCTGGGTCACAGTTACTGTAAATTGGGTCCCCTGGTCAGACAAAGTCTCCCTAGGGGATTCCTACTCTAGTAAAAATTTAACTAGAGCCTCTGCTACTGTCGCTTGCCACCAATTGTAACGAGCCTCATGTACTTCGTGAAGTACGATTGTTCGTACACTCCCGAAATGCTAGAGGCTTAGTGATTATAGCCCGTTCGCATATGTAGAAAATCTCTTTAGGAAATATATACCTTGCATGAAAAACCAATGCTGAAGGTCATCCAGTGCACATTAAGATGTTTGCCACCATCTCTCTGGCGAAAATGTTAAGGACCCGTAACACTATTTTTAATTTTTTTATATATATATATAAAAGTAAGCAGTATGGAGCATGTCATATATGAGCAAAATAAATCATACCTCATTTTTGTTTTTTTTACAGCAAGATAAAGCAGTGTGCTTAGAGTACATCACAAGAAGATAAACAACATGGTATGCATAGGTAGTTAGTGAACCAACAATATAGAAATATTCATATAAGCAGGTGGTTAAAATGTGTCTATGGTGAAGTGTCCCACATAGGGTTGCAATGGAGACTGTGTGGGTCAAAGCTAGTCTTTTAGTTTAATCATTAGTTGGGCTGCCGGTGACATAAAGATTTATTAAAAATTTACATTATAGAAAAGTAATATGGGAAATTCATATCAGTTGGCTAATGTCAAAGTGTTTTAAGAGTTTTCCAAGAAGACTATCCCTCAGCAAGGGAGGGAGGGTTAACAACTTGGTCTGGATTAGACTGCAGCCAAGGGCCTATAGATCGTGTGAGCGCTGGAGCCGTATGGCCTGATTCTGGCCTAACTGGAGGCCTAGGCCTTCAAGTTGTCGTGCAGCTATATGGTGCTTTACTCTCTGCATTGAAGCAGAGCTAGATAAAACATGGTGCTAGAGGAACTGCTAAAAATTGGAAAAAAAATCATTTGAACATCTCATATGTTCATACTCATCCTCGGCTTATTAGGCTTTGGCTTCTTGGTCTTTTGACCCATGGTGCTGTTGCCTGCCTGGGGATGCATTTCGAGTTCCCGTGGGAATCATTGGAGCCTCGAACTTGGATAAAATTGACTGTTTGGTGCAGAGCAGTAACAATATTCAACCATTCGGTTCAGCTGCTTGGCCCTGCCCCAACTAAGCACTCTTCTAATATTCATGCAGTGTACGTCAAAATCCCAGGTACTTGCGTCAAACTACACCCTGTTCCAAATTATTATGCAAATGATATTTACATCAATTATTTAGATAAATGAGAACAGTCAGCATAATTCTCATGTTATCAACTATTAAGAGTACAATTCAAATTTTATTGAACAAACCTCCTAATGATAACAGTATTTTTTTAAACATAAAAAACTTACAATGCACTGTTCCAAATTATGACGCACAGTAAGTTTCAAAAAATACTTTATAGGTTGTAAAGAACTGAAAATTGTCATTTGTTGTATTTGCAGCATATTTACTGAAAACAAAAGCTATTTCAATCAAACTTATGACAACATTTTAACTTTTAAATATTTTAACAGGTCACGTTACATTTTAACATAGGACCCCTTATTT